TGGTGCTGTGGCTCAAGTGGTAGAGCACTAGCCTTGAGCTGAAGAGCTGAGGGAAAGCGCCCAGGCCCAGAGTTCATGCCCCATGACCAGACCCAAAAAAACAAAAACAAAAACCAGGAAGTGGCTATGGTTCAAATGGTAGAGTGTTAGCCTTGAGCACAAAGAGGCTCAGGGACAGTGCCCAAGCCAAAATTCAAGCTCTAACAATGGACAAAAAAAGTGATGGTGTCTGTTTCTGAGTTTATTACTTAGTAGGACATACATATTACAAGAGGAAACAAACAGTATAGGATTCATACTTGTTTACATTGAACTATGAATTCAGAGTAAGGTTGAAGGATAGGTTTATTCCTGTGGGAGGTGTGTTTTGAGTTAGTACTTGAAGGACATTATTGATGTAGAACGGTAGGGGCCTGCCAGGAAATTGGTCGTTTCAGATACAGGGAATGAAGTAGGAAAGGTTAAAATGGCAGTAATTAGTTAATCTAATTAGTGGGGGGCTAGCAAGCAAATTGGCTCGGCAGGCCTATTGGGCCTTGGGGATTGTGTAGCCATTAACTCGGTGAATGCAGAGTGCTAATGGTGTCACAGTTCAGTCATATATCCCAGTTCATTTCTGTCTTTACCCAACCAGAGCCCTGTTCCACACTCCAAGCAGCTATCTTGCATGTGCAAACCCTTAGTCAGAGGAGGTGGCACCGGACACGAAGGTGAGGTTGCAAAGAATAAACTGTCCTTCAAGGTCATATTCTTATCTGAGGGTGACTCCATGGTAATGGGGGGAGGGGAGTAAGGAGTAAGGACATAACAGACCTTCCCTCCAGTGCTAAGGGGGTAATATGTTAGGAGAGTAAGATTGTTATTCTCTGACTTGAGGTTTTCTATCCCTTGGTGGGTGGAAGAAAAGAGATAAAAGGAAAGATGACAAAATATATTTATTTATACACATATATTTATTCACACACATATATTTATGCATTTATTTATTGTGCTGGGTGTTGAGCCCAGGGCCTCATGCATGTAAGGCAGGCACTCTACTATTTTGTTGTTATTCTTGGCCATGGGACTTGAACTCAGGGCCTGGACACTTTCCCTGAGCTCTTTTGCTCAAGGTTAGCATTCTACCAGTGCCACTTCCAGTTAATTAAGGTAAGTTTCACAGACTTTCTTGCTTGGGCTAGCTTTGAACTGAGATTCTCAGATCTCAGCCTCCCAAGTAGCTAGGACTGCTTGGTGTGAGCCACTAGCACCCAGCACTCTATTTTTTTTTTTTTTTTTGGGTCCGGTTGTGGGGCCTGAACTCTGGGCCTGGGCGCTGTCCCTCAGCTCTTCAGCTCACGGCTAGTGCTCTACCACTTGAGCCACAGCACCACTTCCGGCTTTTTTCTTTTTGCTTATGTGGTGCTGAGGAATCGAACCCAGGGCCTCTTGCATGCAAGGCAAGCGCTCTACCACTGAGCCACCTTCCCAGCCCTAGCACTCTATTATTAAGCATACCCCTAGCCCAATAATGGTTGAACTAGTAGTACTAAGTGCTATGGAGGAAGTAAAGATTGGTTTGTTTTTGTGCTTGTACTCTCACTTGGCTTTTATGCTCAAACTGGTGTTCTACCACTCGAGCCACTTCCAGCTTTTGGCTGGCTAACTGGAGATAAGAGTTGGAGATTTTTCTGCCTGGACCGGCTTTGAGCCTACATCCTTATAGCTCAGATTTCTGAGTAGCTAGGCTTATAGGCATGAGCCACCAGTGCCTGGCTCCATCTGTCTTAAGATGTCCTTCTTCTGGGGGGGGAAGGAGGGGAAGGAGAAGGATTGGGATTGGGGGGGAGGGGGGAGGCTGGGAAGGGATGTGAAGGGTAAACCAAAGGAGGAGGCTGCAATGCTTGGTAAGAAATGTATGCATTATCCTGCCCATGTAATTGTAACCCCTCTGTACAGTATGTTCACAAATAAAATAAAATTAAATTAAAAAAAAAAAGATGTCCTTCTTCTGGGGGGGGAAGGAGGGGAAGGAGAAGGATTGGGATTGGGGGGGAGGGGGGAGGCTGGGAAGGGATGTGAAGGGTAAACCAAAGGAGGAGGCTGCAATGCTTGGTAAGAAATGTATGCATTATCCTGCCCATGTAATTGTAACCCCTCTGTACAGTATGTTCACAAATAAAATAAAATAAAATTAAAAAAAAAAAGATGTCCTTCTTCTACTCTACCATGGAAGACTTTTGATTGCTCTTGCACCCAACTAAATCCAGTATCTTTCTAATTGCTGATTTTTCTTCCCTTCTTTTGCTTTTTTTTTTTTTCACCCTGGGGCTTGAACTCAGGGCCTAAGCACTGTCTCTGAGCCTCTCTGTGCTCAAGTCTAGCATTCTACCACTTGAGCCACAGCGCCACTTCTGGCTTTTTCTGCTTATGTAGTACTGAGGAATCAAACTCAGGCAAGTACTCTACCACTAAGCCACATTCCCAGCCAATCTTTGCCACTTTTATCAAAAGCAATTGTTCTCTTTTTGTGTGTATGTCGACTGTGGGTCCTGAACTCTGGGCCTGGGCACTGTCCCCCAGCTCTTCAGCTCAAGACTAGCGCTCTACCACTTGAGCCAGAGCATCATTCTGGTTTTCTGGTGGTTAATTGGAGATAAGAGTCTCATGGACTTTCCTCCCTGGGCTGGCTTTGAACTCTGATTCTCAGATCTCAGCCTCTTGAGTAGCTAGGATTACAGGCATGAGCCACCAGCACCTGGCTCTCTTTTATTTGGTGGTAGTGGATTTTAACTCAAGGCTAGACCAGGTACTCTACCACTTAAGCCACACTCTCAGGCTCCTGAGTAGTTAGGATTACAGGCGTGAGCCCCACCCTTTTTTCCATAAATTATTATTATTATTGGTGGTAGTGATGGTGATGGTGGTCATGGGGCTTGAACTCTGGGCTTAGGTGCTGTACCTGCACTCTTCAGCTCAAGGCTAGCGTTCTACCACGTGAGCCATAGTGCCACTTCCGGTTTTCTGGGTGGTTAACTGGAGAGAAGAATCTCACAGACTTTCCTGCCTGAGCTGGCTTTGAACCACAATCATTAGATCTCAGCCTCCTGAGTAGCTAGGATTACAGACATGAGCCACAGGTGCCCAGCTATTATAGGTAAACTTTTTTTTTTTTTGGTTAGTTGTGGGGCTTGAATTCTGGGGCTGGGTGCTGTCCCTTAGCTCTTCAGCTCAAGGTCAGCACTCTATCAACTGAGCCACAGCCATTTCCAATAAACTTTATTGCCAGTCCTGGGGATTGAACGCAGGACCTGGGCACTGTCCCTGAGCTTCTTTTGCTCAAGGCTAGCACTCTACCACTTAGGCCACAGCGTCACTTCTAGCTTTTTCTGTTTATGTGGTACCCAGGAACCGAACACAGGGCTTCATGCATGCCAAGCAACAGTCTACTACTAAACCACATTCCCAGCCCAAACTTTTTTTCATTTCATATTTTATATAGATGCAAGGGAAGCCAGGCACTGGTGGCTCACACCTGTAATCCTAGCTACTTAGGAGGCTGAGATCTGGGGATTATGGTTCAAAGCCAGCCCTTATAGGATAAAGTCCGTGAGACTGTTCTCTCCAATTAGCCACCAGAAAACCGGAAGTGGTGCTATGCCTCCAGTGGCAGAGTGCTTGCTATCTTTGAGTTGAAGAGCTCTGGGACAGCACCCCGGCCCAGAGTTCAAACCTCAGGATCGATAAAACAAACGAACAAACCCCAAAACAAACAAAAAACAAGGGAGTTTTGCGTGCACAAATCCATTTCTAAGTACGTTTCTTGGTCCTAATGACCACTCTTGTCATTATCCTTTCTCAAACCTGCCTTATCAAGTTACCTTGTCCTATTTTCACACATGTATATAAAGTACATAAATTTTTATTAAAAGAGAAAATCATGTCACTCTGGAGTCACAAATTCAAGGTCCGCTTAGGTGACTGGGTGAGACCCTATGTCCAAAAAACAAACAAGAAGACAAAACAAGCTAGGTGCTGGTGGCTTTCACCAGTAATCCTACTAGGGAAGCTGAGATCTGAGAATCTCGATTCAAATCCAGCCCCGGAGCAGGAAAAGTCCTGGAGAAGCTTATCTCCAATTAACCCCCAGAAAACAGGAAGTAGATCTGCTCGGAGGCAGTGCCCAGGTCTCGAGTT